GTGTCGCGGGTGCGGCGCGGCAAGGAAGAAAACCAGAACCCCACGAAACATGTGGGGAACAACTAACCGTAAGGATCCAGCACGTTAGGCCCCCCTGTGGCATGACCACATGGGGCGGCGGATCGAAGACGCCTACGGCGAATCACCGCCGCCCCCTGTCTTTTTGGAAGCGCTTGTGGCCGAACGTTGAGGCCAGATCTGCCAAGCTATCGGACCATGTGTTCCCCGAGTCGGTTTGGAAAGCCTTCGGGGAACACGTGGACATCTTGAAGGTCATCATGGCCGTCTGGATGCTATTTTGACCCTTTCGGAGCTTTGTGGAGGACGTCTTGGAGGGTTCTTGGGCCGTCCTGGAGGCCATCTTGAGCGTCTTGGAGGCCTCTTGGGCCGTCTTGGGGGCCTCTTGGGGCCGTCCTGGACCTCTTGGACGATCTTTGGGGGCACTTGGGTCGTCTCGGGCCGTCGGAAGGCCGAAAAAAAGCAAAGGCCACAATCCTTCAAACAGTCATGGGGAAATCAATGATTTTGGCTTTATCGGACCTTCCCGGAGGCCCTCTTGGAGGCCTCTTGGGCCGTCTTGGGCCATCTTAGGGCCATCTTCGGCCGTCCTGGTGGGCTCCTGGCCAGTCTGACGCCGTCGGAAGCCGTTTGGGGGGCCTCTCTGGGCCGACTTGGGGCCCTCTTGAAGTGCTCCAGGGCCGTCTTGGAGGCCATCTTGGGCGTTTTAAAGGCATCCTGGGCCGTCTTGGGGGCCTCTTGGGGCCGTCTTGGGTGCCTCTTGGGCCGTTCTGGTGCCATCTTGGAGGCCTCTTGGGCGGTCTTTGGGCGATCTTTGGGGGCTCTTGGGCCGTCTCGGGCCCTCGGAAGGCCGAACAGAAACAACTGTCAAACTTCTTCAAAAACCAAAGGAAATTAGTATGTTTGGCCTTTTCTGGTCTTCCAGGAAGCCCTCTTGGAGGCCTCTTGGGCTGTCCTGGGCCAGCTTCGAGCTAACTTCGGTCATCTTGGAGGGTTCCTGGCACGTCTGGCGCCGTCGGGAACCGTCTTGGGGGCCTCTCTGAACTGGCTTGGGGCCGTCTTGGGGCGCTTCGGGGCCGTCTTGGAGGTCATCTTGGGCGTCTTGGAGGCCTCTTGGCCCGTCTTGGGGCCGTCTTGGGGGCCCGTGTGCCATCAAGGGGCCCTCTTGGAGGCCTCTTGGGCGATCTCGGGGCGATCTTGGGGGCCTCTTGGGCCGTCTTGATCCGTCGGCATGCCGAGAAGAAGCAACTGCTAAAATCCTTCAAACACCCTCCTGGAGGACCTCCTGGAGGACCTCTTGGAGGCCCCTGGGATCGTATTGGGCCGTCTTGGAGGCTTCTTGGGCGAACTTGGAGATATCTTGGACTCTCTTTGGCCGTCATGAGGCCGTCTTGGACCATCTTGGGCGGACTTGGAGGCCACCTTGGACCATCTTGGAGGCCATCTTGGGCCGACGTGGCCATCTTGGAGGCCATCTTGAGCTGTCTTGGAGGATTTTTTTTTGGATTGAGGTCCTTTCCGGGTGGCTGGCGGGACGCGCCGGAGCCTCAGGGGGAGTTCTTTTGGAAAAGAACCAAAATCAAAAACGGTAAGATTCGGCACGCCAGGCACCCCTCTTGCAAGCAACAGGGGGCGGCGGATTACGTGGCCCACGGCCCATCCACCGTGCCTTGGTATGATACTGATGGGGAGCTTCTGGGAACCCTCTTGGAGCTCTCTCCAGGCTCTCTTAGAGGCTTTTGGAGCTCTCTCCAGGCCCTCAGAGATCCCAAAATGGTTGAAGAGGGGCCCCAAAGGGCACCAATAGGTTTCAAAAGGCTTAAGAGGGCCCCAGGAGGGCCCCCGAAGCAGCCCGCAACAGTGTGATACCAAAGCTTCCTGGTATGACACTGTTGAGGGCTTGCTTGGATTTCTCCCTCTGGAGGCTCTCTTGGGGCGCTCGGGCGATTTCAGGCCCCTCGTGGATTATCGAAGACGCCTACGGCGAATCACCGCCGCCCCATGCCTTTTGAAGTCGCCCATGTGGCCGAGCGTTGTGGCAAGAGCTCTGCCATGCTATCAGACCATGCGTTCCCCGAACCGTTGTTGAAACCCTTCGGGGAACACTTGGGGGAGGATGGCGGGGAAGATCAGGTGGAGGAGGAGGAGGAGGAGGAGGAGGAGGAGGAGGAGGAGGAGGAGGAGGAGGAGGAGGAGGAGGAGGAGGAGGAGGAGAGGGAACCTTGGGACCTCTGGTCGCACTCTTGTGGCCTCCTTGGAGCTTCCTGGGAGCCTCTTGGAGGCATCTTGGGGGCCTCCTTGGGCTTCCCGGGGGCGTTTTTTGGCTACCTGGGGGCATTCCTGGCCCGTCTGACGCCGTCGGAAGCTGTCTGGGGGGCGCTCTTGGGGCGCTCTTGGGGTGCTCCAGGGTCGTCTTGGAGGCCATCTAGGGCGTCTTAAAGGCCTCTTGGGTCGTCTTGGGGCACTCTTGGGCTGTCTTGGGGGCCCCCCTGGGCCGTTCTGGGGCCATCCTGGAGGCCTCTTGGGCGATCTCGGGGCGATCTTTGGGGGCTCTTGGGCCGCCTCGGGCCGTCGGAAGGCTGAGAAGCAGCACTTGCTAAACAACTTTCAGAAACCAAAGGGACATCAATGATGTTGGCCTCTTCGGGCCTTCCTGGAGGTCCTCTTGGAGGCCTCCGGGGCCGTCTTGAAGGCCTCTTTGGAGCCTCTTGGGCCGTCTTGGGCCCTCTTGAAGCCATCTCGGGCCGTCTTGGCGGGCTCCTGGCCTGTCTGACGCCGTCGGAAGCCGTCTTGGTGGCCTCTCTGGGCCAACTTGGGGCGCTCTTGGAGTACTCCAGAGTTGTCTTGGAGGCCTCTTGGGCCGTCTTGGGGCACTCTTGGGGCCGTCTTGGGGGCCCCTTGGGTCGTTTAAGGGCCATCTTGGAAGCCTCTTGGGGGCCTTTTGGGCCGTCTGCCGTCTTGGGCCTTCTTGGAGGCTTCTGGGGCGAACTTGGAGGCATCTTGGACTCTCCTGGGCCGTCTCCGAGGCCATCTTGGACCATCTTGGGCGAACTTGGAGGCCATCTTGACCGTCTTGGAGGCCATCGTGTGCCGTCTTGGGGGACATTTGTTTGGACGTGGTGCTCGTTTTCGGTCCCTTCCGGGTGGCCGGCGGGACGGGCCGAAGCCCTTGGGGAGAGTTCTTTGGGGGAAAGAACCAAAACCGAACCAGTAGGGTCTACTTCTTTGGGGAGAGTTCTTTGGGGAGAGTTCTTTGGGGGAAGAACCAAGTTCTTTGGGGGAGAGTTCTTTGGGGGAGAGTTCTTTGGGCGAAGAGTAGCACGCCGGGCACCCCTGTGGCAAGACCACAGGATGCGGCGGATTGTGGCCCACGGTCCATCCCGCCACCGTGCCCGGGTAGTGGGTCAGAATCCTCATGGATCATTCTTGGGGATCTCTTCGGAGTGCTGTCGGGGGTCTCTGGAGGTAGTTTGGAGGCCGCTTGGGAACTTTTTCGGAGACTCTTGGGAGCGTCGCGGGGCTTTCTGGGGACCTTGTGGGCCGCTTGGGGCTTCTATGAGCTTGAAATGTTGATTCCTGTTCGCCCTCTGGGGCCCCTCTAGGGCGTTCTGGGGGCCGATGCCTTCTGGGCCGTCTTGGAAGCGTTGGGCTGTCTGGGCGGTCTCTTGACGGCATCGTAGGCCGTCTTTGGGATCTTCGGCCGTTTTGGAGCGTCGGGCAGCCGAAAAGGCAGACACGCTCAAATCTGTCAAAACAAACGATCATTCAATACATTTTGCCTCTTGGGGCCCTCTTGGGAGTGCTCTTGGAGGCCTCTTGGAGCGCCCTGGAGCTTCGTGGGGGCGCCTTGGGCCATGTGGAGGCCATCTTGGGCATCCTTGAGCAATCGTTCGGCGACTGGGCCCTCTGGGGCCCCTCTTGGAGTATCATGGCCCCGATCTGCCGAAGGAGGGCCGAATTTGATCGAAGGCGGCCCGAAAAGGGAAGGGGGGAGGTTGTATTCTGACCAAGGACCCCTCCTAGGGGGCCCCCCCCCACGGCACCCCCTCCCCCCAGGACCCCCTCCCCCCTCCGGGTGGGGAAGGGATTAAAGGGAAGGGGCTCCCCTTCGACTCAAGTGCGACTTCGACCACGTCCTGGCTCGATCGGCCTCGAGTTGACGAGCTTGGCGCGCCGAAGAGAGTGATGAGCTGGGCGCGCCCAAGAGAACGCCGAATTGTGCTCCGAAGACGACAACCCAGAACTCCCCCTCACACCCGCCGACCCTGTCGGCGGATGTTTGTCAAATCCGATTGATTTCAGTGTTTCAAAATGGTGCTCCCGCTGTAGCGTGGGCCTCATTTGTAGATCGGCGCTTTGCTCACGTCGTTCAGAATGGCGCTCTCGCCCCAGCGCGGGCCACTTTTCTGGATTAGACTCCTTTCTCATCGTTGTCGCCCCCATCCTTTCCCGTCGTCTGCCTCCTCCTGGTCCCCTTGCTTCTCCTGCTCCTTCCACTCCAATTCCCGCTGCTGCTGTTCGTCCTCGTCCTTGTCCTCCTCCTCCTCCTCCTCCTCCTCTTCTCCTGCTTCCTCATCCTCCTCCTTTGCCTCCTGCTCATCCTCCTGCTCATCCGCCACCTCCTCCTCTTCCCATTCTTCTTATGTACGCAGCTCCTTGTTCCCGACTGTGCATACCACAATGGGGTCCGATTGGGAGTTCACGGTCCGCTATGGCACGCGCCCGCGGATAGAAGCAAACACAGCGCAATGGGAAGGGATGGATTGGTGGGAGGGGTCGGATGTCAGATATTGCGCGAGCGCACCCAGCTTGCCTCTCTCATCTCTCCTCTCTCCTCCTCCGCTCCTCTCCTCTCCCCCCTCCTCCTCCCCCTCCTCCTCCTCCTTCTCCTCCTCCTTCTCCTTCTCCTCCTCCTCCTCCTCCTCCTCCTCCTCCTCCTCCTCCTTCTCCTCTTGATTCCCCTCCCGACGCATGGCGCACAGGCGCCCGCGCGCCCCGACTTCCGACAACGCCTGGGCGAACGCGCGGCAGAGCGTGGTGCACGACATGTTCTCGGAGCAGATCGAGCAGGTCCTGGCCAGCGGCGCGGGGGCGCAAGCCGCTCCGCGGCTCACGGCCGCGTGGCTGAACCCCAGGGGGTACATCAAGGATCCCGAGGCCGGGGCCTCTGTACGCAGCTCTGCCCGCCTCGGGAGGCGGCGCCCCTCGGGAGGGGCCCTTAGTGTGTGCACCGCGCCGTTTGGTCGGCCGAGGTTGGCGAGGGAGTCGGCGAAGGAACGAGCTCGTAGACGCTTCAGCGTCCCACCTGTTGGGCAGCTGGGGGCGTCTATGCACTGAGCTCCCGACCAACCGACGTGGTGTGTCGGATGTTGACCGCCGAAGTAGGAAAAAGGGGACCACCGTAAACATTCGGAGGTCCGCGCGGACTCCTTGGATTCTTGGATCGGCGCCGGGTCGCCTCGGGCGCCGCTCCTGGTGCGCTCCGAGCGCCAGGGAGGGGTGCCCAGCGCCGATCCAAGGAATCCGCGCGGACCTCCGGAGGTTGGTGCTTCAAGCGTCTTCCCTCTTCGAGGTGTAGCCCCCACATCTGCCGCGTCGGCCAGCGCATTCCCTTTTCCTCGGCTCTCGAGAGGGCTTCGCGGCCGCACTCTTCGCGGGCCTCCGGGTCTGGCCACAGGGGGTCGTCACGCGCGGCAGTTTCGCTGAAGGGGGACTCTGTCCACCCCCGGCAGGAGGCGGTGGGCGTATAGTCACACCTTTCCGGGGCACGTGCTCGCCGCAGGTCGCGCTGGCCGGCGCTTTCTGGCTGGCCCGTCCTGAGTTTTGACGGCCCAGCTCCCGTGGGACGTCTGCGGCGGGAGGCTGCGTCCAGTGCCATTCTGGGTCTCGCCACTCTGCAGACGGCCCCGTCAGGTCCAGCCGAGTCCCCCGAACCTGAGCCTGGCGTCTCCCTGAATCCTCCTCCTTCTCTTCCTCCTCCACCACCTCCTCCTCCTCCTCCTCCTCTTCCTCCTTCTCCTCCTCCTCCTTCTCCTCCTCCTCCTCCTCCTCCTCCTCCTCCTCCTCCTCCTCCTCCTCCTCCTCCTCCTCCTCCTCCCCCTGGGCGGGGCCCAAACCCGCCCGCTCCCGCCGCCCGCTCTTTGGCACCCTCTGGGGCGTCGGGCTCCTCCCTGGCGGGCGGAGGCGGACGGCATGCGCGATAGCTCCGGCCCCCGGGCGAGAGGAAACTTAGGTCGGGCCTGTCCCTCTACAGGGGTCATATTCAAAAATAGTAATGAAAAACAGTCAGGGGACGATTTTGTTTTACTATTTTTGAGTATTTGGAGGGTATGTTCGGAGTTGTTCCCTACCTAGGCTCTGCCTAGAAGGGTTCTTACTCTCTTAGCTTAAAGGGGCCGGGCAGCGGAACGCGCCCCGGGCGGTTCCCCCAGTCCCCTGGGAGCGGTTCCCCCCAGTCCCCTGGGAGCTTTAGCTTTAGCTTTAGCTTAGCTTTAGCTTAGCTTTAGCTTAGCGTTTCGCTTAGCTTTTCGCTTAGCTTTTCGCTTAGCGTTTAGCTTAGCTTTAGCTTAGCTTTAGCTTAGCTTGAGCTTAGCTGTAGCTTAGCTTTAGCTTAGCTTTAGCTTAGCTTTAGCTTAGCTTTAGCGTAGCTTTAGCTTAGCTTTAGCTTAGCTTTAGCTTAGCTTGAGCTTAGCTGAAGCTTAGCTGTTGCTCAGCTTTAGCTTAGCTTTAGCTTAGCGTTAGCTTAGCTGAAGCTTAGCTGAAGCTTAGCTGTTGCTCAGCTGAAGCTTAGCTTTAGCTTAGCTTTAGCTTAGCTTTAGCTTAGCTGAAGCTTAGCTGAAGCTTAGCTGTTGCTCAGCTTAGCTTAGCTGAAGCTTAGCTTTAGCTTAGCTTTAGCTTAGCGTTAGCTTAGCTTTAGCTGAGCTTTAGCTTAGCTTTAGCTTAGCTGTGGCTTAGCTTTAGTTTAGCTTTAGCTCAACTTTAGCTTAGCGTTACTGTTACTACTAATGCTGCTTTCCTAGGGGTTCCAACTCCTAGGTAGGGTCGCACTGGGATACTTTTTTTTCATTGTTTGCCCAAAATCCCCCTGTAGGGGGACACGCCCGACTTAATAGGAGACCCCCGGCCTGGCGTCCGCCCTGAAGCGGAGGTTCTCCCCGAAGGCCGGGCAGTGCCAATGGGGGCGTCGCCACGGTCGGCACGACCCACCTTTACGCCAGTGCCATGTGCGCGTCGGCACCCAGAGGGAGGAGGGAGGAGGGAGGAGGGAGGAGGGAGGAGGGAGGAGGGAGGGAGGGAGGAGGGGGAGGAGGGAGGAGGGAGAGGGAGGAGGAGGAGGGAGGGGGAGGAGGGAGGAGGGAGGGGGGAGGAGGGAGGAGGGGGGGGGAGGGGGGAGGGGGGAGGGGGGGGGAGGGGGGAGGAGGGAGGAACGCGCGCGCGCCTTCGCCGAGACATCTCGCAGCCTATGCTCGCTGGCGGGCGCCTGCTGGCCGTGCCGCTCGGGCAGCGACTTGCTGCAGGATGGTTGGCCTGTATGTGTTCGGGCCGGGCGCGCGCCTCCCCGGGAGGGCGCACGGTGCTGGCATGATGTCGGGCGTGTCCCCCATACAGGAGGACCTTCTACGAAACATTGCACATACCCCAAACATACCCCCAAAAGGTAAAACAATGCTGAAACAGTAGTCCCCAGACTATGTTTGGAGTTTTAGTATTATTATCACTTTCATTCTTATTATTTGGGTATTTTTCATTTTTCGTGGAAAATCCTGGGTATTTTCTACTTTTCGTCGAAATCCCCCCTGTAGGGGGACAGGCTCGACTTAATACTAGAATGTCCATGTGCGTCCCACAGGAGGGGGCCCGCCAGCTCCTGCCGGAGATCGGGGGCTCCAGGATCGCAGGTCGAGGAGGCGCTTGTGGACGTCAGTGGTCGGTTTCTGATGGGCCCTGGGGCTTTCTTGAGGCCCCCCGCCCCCTCGAGCACACGGCGCTTCCTTGAGGACGTGGCGACTCCCCTACTTCAGGGGCAACGTTAGGGGGGGTCGGTTCAGGGGGGGATGCATCGACCCCCAGTCGCCCATTCATCGCCGAAAGGGGCCCGTTAGGGACCCAATTGCCCGACCTGGCCCAGGAGCGTGCGGATTTGCTATCGGGGGCCTGTCGCCGATCTACCGGCGATGCACCGCCAAGTCTAGGTCGGTGATTCCCCCCTGAGCCGATCCCCCGATCGTCCCAGACATCCGACGAGTTGATCCTGCCAAGGCGCGGCCCCCGAGGTCCCCTTGCCCCAGGGGTGATCAGTTGTTCGGCCCGGAGCTGTCTTTGGTGGTCCTGGGGTCTGACAATGTGGCCGAAATCGTTGCCCCTCACTGTTGGTGACCCGTCCATGGCATGGCCCCGAAAGGCGTCGCCGCGGCCGCCGCCGCCGCAGGGGCCGCTGGAGCAGGGGTCGCCGCAGGAGTCACCCGGGGCGGGCCCCCCGCAGGTGCGCTTCGCCGCCGATGTTGCTGGCTCGTCGTCCGAGTGAGTGATGGTTGGGCAGTGCCAGGGGGGCCATCAGTCCCATGTCCCCCCACAGGGAGATCTGGAGAAAGGGGGCATGGCCCCAGAGAGGATGCGCGTGGAAGCAAAATGTAGCCGCTTGAGCGGCAGATTGTCTTCACAGAAGGCCTCATCGTTTGGGGCCTGGGCATTGACCGTTTCTGGGTACAGCGGAAGCCCACGCCAAGAAACACCCTGCTTGCCTCCAGGGTGCCCTGGGTTTCTTGGGTTTCGATGGTTTTCCTATGGAGGGCGTGGCGTTCCCATACCAAACATCAATGGACATCCTGGGGGCTCAAGGTTGGGTTTCTTGTGGTGGTCGAGCTCCTGCTGTATGTTGGCGCTGGGGATGTGATCACCCCTCGCGTCGGTTTGATTGACCGTTCGGCCTCTGGGCCCTGTGCGGGCAGGGCTCCACGTGTCACAACCAGGGGGGTCCCCGGCTCCCCTTGGAACTCGAGGTTCCAAGATCGAAGCTCGAGGAGGTTGTTGGACGTTTGGAGGCCGGTTTGGACGGCTCTGAAGTGCTCCTGGGGTCCACTTCCTTGAAGAACTGCCGTTCGCTCGAGGAAGTGGCGACAACCCTAGTTCAGGAGGGAAAGAAACACACAGACACAATTAGTCGTCGATTCCCCAGAACATATGGGAAAATATGGGAAGTGGGGGGAAGACGAAAACCCCCAACATATAGGAAAATATGGGGAATCTTTGTATTTGCGTGTAGTTATTTGTGTGTCCTTGGGCCCCTTCACTAGTGGTGACCCCCCTTGGCACTGCCCCAAGTGGGCGTCGCTTGGCAGCCGCGGGCTCGGCCGCGCCTGGCCGGCTGCGGACCTAGGAGGAGGAGGCGGAGGAGGAGGAGGAGGGGAGGAGGAGGAGGAGGGGAGGAGGAGGAGGAGGAGGAGGAGAGGAGGAGGAGGAGGAGAGGAGGAGGCGGCGAGGCGGAGGCGGAGGCGGAGGCGGAGGGGAGGCGGAGGAGGAGGGGAGGAGGAGGAGGAGGAGGTGGAGGAGGAGGGGGAGGAGGAGGAGGAGGAGGAGGAGGAGGAGGAGGGGGAGGAGGAGGAGGGGAGGAGGAGGAGGAGGAGGAGGAGGAGGAGCAGAAGAAGAGCACACATCATGCGCATCAGCTCTCGGGCGGCAAGGCTTCGAGCGGCGCGCAGGCAGCCCCGCCAGGCAGTCCCGGCTGTTCTCGAGAGGCCCCCCCCGAGCGGTCCCAACGCCATGGCTTCGCCTCTGGCGCCCGGGGGCGCTCCTCGCCAGGGGAGCGAGGTGCTCAGACCGCCCCAGACCACTCAGGGGGCCCGTTGAGGCCAGCCAGGACTACCGAGGAGGAGGAGGAGGAGGAGGAGGAGGAGGAGGAGGAGGAGGAGGAGGAGGAGGAGGAGGAGGAGTAGGAGGAGGAGGAGGAGGAGGAGGAGGAGGAGGAGGCAGCAGCAGGAGCAGGAGCAGGAGGAGGAGGAGGAGGAGGAGGAGGAGGAGGGAGGAGGAGGAGGAGGAGCAGCAGGAGGAGGAGCAGCAGGAGCAGAGCAGGAGGAGGAGGAGGAGGAGGAGGAGGAGGAGGAGGAGCAGGAGCAGGAGGAGGAGGAGGAGGAGGAGGAGGAGGAGGAGGAGGAGGAGGAGGAGCTGTCTATGTGCAGCCCGAGACCTTACCACTCCCGGAGGTCCGCGCGGACTTCTCGGCTCGGCGCTGGACCCCCCGCCCTCCCCAGCGCCGCCAGCCGCCAGTGGGGTCCAGCGTCGATCCAAGAAGTCAGCGCGCACCTGCGAAGAAGCTGATGCGTGTGCCGTGTCCTGTTCCTCTACGACCACGGCGCGCCCGCCTGCGTCGGCCCTGGGTGGCCTCGGGGCCCGGCGGAGCTCGGCTCCAAGCTCTGGGCCCGGGGTCGCATGTCCGGCCGCCGTGGCATTTTCTCTCTGCTGCTCCGTGCCCTGGCACGCAGGCCGAGAGAGCCTGGGGCATCGCGGGACGCGTCTGAGAAACTTTCTGTCCTCCGCTGGCCGCTCTTCCTTTTGCGGGCAATGTCTATATCCACATCCAGTGCATCTTGGAGTTTCGGGCTCTCTTCCCCAGAATTATGAAGCGCACTGGATATGGATAAACATCTGGCCTCCAAAGGCTTGATTTTTATTCATATCCAGTGCGCCTCGGCCTTGCGGCGCCTCTTCCAAGAAAGTTCAAGACGCACTGGATATGGATATAAGTATTGCTCGTACCCTTGGCAGTCCCACTTGCGCGTGCCAGCAGTCCTGTTACGCAAGCCCATGCCCAAGCCATGCTGGCTCAGCACCATTCTGGACCCAGACAGGTCAGAGGTTAGAGCTTGGGGTCGGACGCGTCGGGGGCCTGGTTGGACATCTGGGTGGGAAGGGGCCGGGGCATCTAGCAGAATGCCGCCAACAGTTCGATACGGTCGGGAGGTCCGAACATGTGATGGGCACGCAGGTATCTTATCCATTTGCTCAAACCGAAGCCTCATGTTTTCTCAAGTTCGTGTTCGCTGCCTCCCCTCCTCGTCCCCCTCGCCGCCCTCCTTGTACGGTTCGACGTTCTTCGTCGACGTGCGAGTCTTTCGTGGGGCTTGCCGCGAATGGAGTTCCAATGTGGGTATCGTCTCGCAGCATTTGTCGGTCGCGAGACTTCTGAGAGCGAGAGAGAGAGAGAGAGAAAACAAAAAAAAACAAGAAGGATAGGCAGAGAGAGGGAGAGAGAGACAAGGAGAGAGAGTGAGAGAGAGTGAGAGAGAGGGGAGAGAGGGACAGAGGCAAATTAAACGTTGCTTCGGTCTTCCCGTTGTTCCTTCCTCTCTGCCTCTCTGTCTGTCTGTCCGTCTGTCTGTCTGTCTGTCTGTCTGTCACAGTCTGTCTGTCTGCCTGTCTGTGGGTCTCTCTCTCTCTCTCTTTCTGTAGGTACGTCTTTTTTATATATGTATGTATCTGCAGCCGTTGGGTCACGGGGCCAACACGGGGTCACATCAGCCCTGTTGGGTTCCCGAGGGCTCCTCCGGAGGGCTCCTCAGAGGGGTTACGCAACACGTCCGCCAAGGAGGAGGAAAAGGAAGGAGGGAGGAGGAGGAGGAGGAACGAGGAGGAGGAGGAGTTGGAGGAGGAGGAGGAGGAGGAGGAGGAGGAGGAGGAGGAGGAGGAGGAGGGGGAGGAGTGCCCGGCCGAGACCCCGCTCGGGGCTGAGTCGCTGCCAGTGCCGCGGATCCCTTATAAAATCCGTTAGTTTTTGTGTTCGGTTGTGTTCGGCTGCCTGCCGGCGAACGCCCAGCAGTTTGACATGCTGGCGCCGCGTCAAGGAAAACAAGGAGGACGAGGAGGAGGAGGAGGAGGAGGAGGAGGAGGGCGGAGGACGGACGATGGAGGGTGAACGATGAAGGATGGAGCAGGAGAAGGAGGGAGGGAGGAGGAGGAACAAGGAAGGACGACGGGAGGCAAGAAGGAGGAGACGACGGGAGGAGGTCGTGGCGAGGGCCTCCTGCCGCCGCAGCTGTTGCCGGCCGGCCGCGGAAGGCGCACCGGGCGCGCGACGGGCTGCCCCGCCCGGGCCCCGGCTCGGACGTCCAGCCGCCGGGGGCCCGAGCCGCCCTGCGTGGCCCCCCGTGGGCCTGGGGGCACGCAGCGTTCGAGGGGGCAGCGCTTGGCCCCGCCCCTTTCCTGCCCCGGCCCCCAGGGTTAAGGGGATTTTCGACGACAAAAAAAAAATACCCCAAAAATAACCCAAAATAGTCTGGGGACTATTTTTGGCGTATTGTTTGACCTTTTGGGGGTATTTTTGGGGTATTTTCGATTTTCGTCGAAAATCCCCCTGTAGAGGGACACACCCGACTTAACCCCAGGGGGAGCACTGTCAGAGGCGAGAGGCCACCATACCGGTACCGTTGCTCCAGGCTTCTTGGGTGGGATCCGAACGGGCGGGGTGGGAGGATCGCGCCGCATCGCCGATGCGGCTCGATGCGGAGCCCGATGTCCTGCACGCCGACGGCGCCGATGGATTGCCGATGCATCGGCGATGCGGTGCGATCCTCCGACCCCATCTACTCGGACCCCATCCAGGAGGCCTCTAGTTGCTCGTCCTGGAGAGCCGTCGTCACCACGGTTGGATGTCAGAAAGCACCCCGCGAGATGTCCTGGGAGTTGCGGCATCGGTACCTTTTCGATCCCCCAGAAAGTGGAAGAATGGGGAAGCGGTGGGGTGGGGCGGAAGATGACGGCGGGGAGCTCCCTCTTTCTCTTGTCTCCCTCCCTGCGTCCTTCTTTCCTCCTTCTGCCTCCTGCTGCTCCTTCTCCTCTTCATCCTCCTCTCTCCTCCTTGTCCTCCCCTGGTCCCTCCTCCTCTTCCTCGGAGCGGATGAGGAGGAGGAGGAGGAGGAGGAGGAGGAGGAGGAGGAGGAGGAGGAGGAGGAGGAGGAGGAGGGGGGGTAGAGGGAGCCAGGGGTCAGGGAGGGTAGGGGGCGAGGGAACCTGCCAGACTGACCGCAGTCAGAGGTTCCAGCAGGCGCGCTCGACGTGGCCGTTGCCGGTCTGCGGGGCGTTTCCGGGGCTGCCCGTGGGCCCGCGAGCGGATCGTTCCGCGCGCTCTCCCCTTCGAGCGGGCCTCGCGCGGCCTGACCTGATGGGCCCATTGTCCACCGCCACTACCATAGGTAGGAGAAGGAGGAGGAGGAGGAGGAGGAGGAGGAGGAGGAGGAGGAGGAGGAGGAGCTCCTCATCCTCCCTTCTCCCCCGTCCTGTGTGTGGTAGTGGTGGTGAAACACATGCCCATCATGACCTCGAGGGAGCGAGCATTGCAACCACGACCAAGATGTCGCGGGATCTTGTCCACGCCGGTCTTGGTCGTGGTCCATGCCGGCCGCCGCCGATTTACGAGGGTGATCCGCGAGCGGTGACCAGGATGGACGGTGACCAAGATCGACACCGTTGCATGGTCCGGGTCAGACTTGGTCATGGTCATTGTCACCGTCCTTTTTCTCTGCAGGATCCTCCTGTGCGTCATTCCCGTTGGCAGTTGCCCTCCCAGCCCCGGCTCCCTCGGCGCCCCAGGGGCTCCTTGGGGAGTTCCCTGGGGAGCTCCTCAGGTTCCTTGGGATCCTCGGTCGCCCAGGTTCCCTGGGCCCTCGGGCTCATCGCGATGCCTGATGTTGCATGCCGCTCGCATCTCTTCTTTGCGCAGCATCGCTTGGTGTTGCGCTGCGCTGCCCGGCACTGCATCGCATCTGCGCATAACTGACTCTGTGCACAGCCTTTCATGGCAGGGCCCTCTCCTTGTCTTCATGCACTGCGCAGTTCTGCACCGCTCTTCACGGCGCGCTGCTTCGCACTGCACCGCATCGATCTGCAGTGCAATGTGTGTCGCGCGGTGTCGGTCTGCAGGGATATTGGTAGATAGCTTGCTCGGGTGGCACTGCGTTGCTCTGCCTCATTTGCCGTTGCCTGGGCTATGCTGTCCGTTGCTGCGCATTTACTCTGCATCGCGTCTCGTTGCAGACACATTGCAGCACAGTGGACGTTTTTACTGGAGGATGACGATTAATAAATGACCGGGGGTCGTGTTCACGCGGCGGCGCCCGGGATGACGATTAGAAAAAACTGGCCGCGGGCTGGAACAACTTTTTTTGTTTTAATCGTTCGCCTCCAGTCAGAAAATTCTACAGAAGTAGCAGAAAACTATTTGTTAGTCGTTCCCTCCAATTTTTCATTTTTTATTAATCGTCATCCCGCATTACAATGGTGTGCTCTGCTTGCAGCTGCATTTGCACTGCTCCTCACTGCGTTTCCTCGCATGTCAACGTGTCGCATTGCAGTGCGTGGCGTTGCAATGCTCTGCGTTGCGCTGTGCTGCATCGCGCTACTTTGCGTTGCAGCCCGCTGCTTTGCACAGCATTGCTTTGCATTGTTTTGCTGTTGTTGCAGTGCCTTGCACGGCACATCGCTTCGAATTGAGTTCGAGCCTACATCATGATTGCTTACTCTTGGCAATCCTAAACTGTGCCAGAACACAACTCCTGTCACTCCAATCCCGCGAAACAGTGACAGTTACGCCTTGGCAAGTCTAAATCATACCAGAACGCCGTGCCTGGGACTTCAGCCATGGGAATTCTGGAATGTGCTGCAGACTTGTAAGACGAAGCCGCGCGGCGCAAAGGCGATAACAGGACTTTGAGAAACGGGCCGCCCTCCATCTTCGAAGTTGCTTTAAGCTTTCAAGACGCATGTGCGCGGCGCTAATGCTAGAACAGCAGTTTGAAAACGGGCCGTCCTCCTTCTTCGAATCTGCTGCATTCTCCAGGCTTAAAGATCATAAGTGGTGAGGAGGTCCCAGGCGGAACGCCTGGCTCGCCCTACCAGCATGTCTAGGGGTGCGATAGGGGGATATTCCCCAATCAGAGCTTGTCTCTGTAGGGGTTCTAGCCGATTCATATGGTTAGGTTAGCTGCGTCGCCGATTTCGGCGGCCCGCCCGTGTGCCCAGGTGCCCGGGTGCCCCGGTGCCCGGGAACTGCGTCGCCGATTTCGGCGGCCCGCCCGAGTGCCCGGTTGCCCGGTAGCGCTATAGCCATATAGCCCTATAGCCTTATAGCCTTACAGCCCTGTAGCCCCATAGCCCTATAGCCCAATAGCCCTATAGCCCTATAGCCCTATAGCCCTATCGCCCTATAGCCCTATAACACAATAGCCCAATAGCCCTATAGCCTTATGTCCCTATAGCCTTATAGCCTTATAGCCCTCTAGCCCTATAGCCCGATAGCCCTGTTGGCCTTCGCCCTATAGCCTATAGCCCTACAGCCCTACAGCCTTCTAGCCCTCCAGCCCTATAGCCCCATAGCCTTATAGCACCATAGCCCGATAGCCCTATAGCCCTATATACCTATAGCCCTATAGCCCTATAGCCCTATAGGCCCATAGCCTTATAGCCCTATAGCCCCATAGCCCTATAGCCCTAAGAAGATTATGATTGGGGCTTCTCTCCGGTATCATATTTATAGCATCTTGAGAGGCGGAAGAGGATTGAGGAGGAGGAGGAGGAGGAGGAGGAGAATGAGACGGATGAGGAGGAGGAGGAGGAGGGAGGAGAAGGAGGACGAAGAGGAGGCCCCATGAAGCCCTCTTGTGGGGCCTCCCGGGGGCCTTTTGGGGGTCTCAGGGGCCTCTTGGGGGCCTCCTGGGTCCTGATGGGGGCCTCTTGTGTCTTTTTGAGGGCCTCTTTTCGGCCTCTGGGTGCCTTAGCCTTCGGAGGCCGTCTTGGAGCCCTCTCTCTTTGCGCAGTTGGCCGTCTTGGAGGTCTGTAGGGCTGTCGTGGGGCCGTTTTGCCTCTTGGGCCGTCTTGCGGACCTCGTGGGGCCTTTTGGGCCGTATTGGGGCGATCTTGGGGGCCTATGGGGCCGCCTTGGAGTGTCGAAAGCCAGAAAAACGAGAACGCTCAAATCATTGAAACACCGAAGGCAAATCAATGATGTTGGCTTCCTGGAGGTCCTCTGGGATTTCCTGGGGCGCCTAGGGAGCTTCTGGGGCTGTCTGGAGGGCAGCTTGGGCCGTCTTGGGGCCATCTTGGCCGTCTTGCAAGTGTCTTGGGATTCTCTTGGGCTCTCTTGGGGCCATCTTCACAGTCTTCGCTTGGAGGCCATCCTGGGGCTGTCTTGCGCGACTGAGACCCCACTGGGAACCTTTCAGAACAAGAACAAAGGAGTCAAACATCTGGCACGCCAGCCACCCCTCTGATGAGCAGATGGAAGCGGATATAGTGGTCTTCGGTCCACACCGCCACCATGCCTCGGCTGGGGGCCAAGGAGTCCTCTCGGAAGCCTCTCGTGCCTTGGGGTCTCGTGGGGCGCCGCTCGGGGGTCTCTTGGGGGACTGGTTGCCTCTTGGAGGCTTTTTGGGCGCCTCTTGGGGCTTCTTGGGGACCTCTTGGGGCTGGTGGGATTCCTCTGGGTGCCTCCTGGGCGCCTCTGGGCGCTTCTTTGGGGCATCTTTGCGGTCTCGGGGGCCATCCTGGCACTGGAGGACTCCCGGGGCTAGTTCGGGTTCCTCCCTCTGGGGCCGTATACCTTTAAACACACACAGTCAGACACATACGTTCACGCAATGGATTTTTTATTTCTGCTGACTCCTGGAAAGTCATCGGAGCCGCCCCCGAACTCACGCGGCAAGTCCAAGAAGCGCCTGGAATTCGGAGTCCGTGCCCCTTAAAAGTATTCAATATTCGATACAGCGAACTCGAAAGGACCTGGGGACGCTCCACTTAGTGGCTACGGCACCGTGGCGGATACAGAGGTTTGGCAGTAATGCGTCAACTGTGTAGGATGGATCCAGACCTCTCGTACCTGGTGTCTGATGTTCGAGCCACGAACCACGACCACCCTCTGGAGCCGACGGAGGCCTGCGAAGCAACAGGCGTGCATCCAACAGATCCATGTTTTGCTGGGTCGTTGGCCGCGGGCCGTTACACTTGGGCGTTTTGTGGTTCTTCCAGGGGGCGAGATTTCCAGGGCCAAGCTTTCATTCATAGTTCGCATCTGAGTGTTATTATCTCCCCTCCAGTAGCCTTCCTGGGGACAGACACGCTTCGGGACGAGCATGGCTAGACGTGGGCACAACCAGGCGGCCTAAAACGTCGGGGTCGCCGGGACCATCTCGATCCGATCAATCCGATTCGATACCGATTCCAGCCGGCCCGATCCGATTCGAGTTCGGTCTGCGACAATCCAATGCGGCTCGATGCTTGCGTGGGCGCCGTTGTGCGTCCTGGCTCGGGTCGGGCGAAAGGGGGGTTTTGGGAAAGGGGGGGTTACGAAATCTGCTGCATGCAGCTGGTTCCGGCCCCACCGAGCGGCCCATTCCTCGATACATGGGCGCCTCCCGGCGCCGGGAGGCGCCGGGAAAGTCAGCTACGTGAGCTGATTCTCAAACCCCCCCTTTGCTATCCCCCCTTTCGGCCGGCCCGACTGGCGCGGGCGATCCGATTCGATTTCGACGCCGTGCCAAGGCGGCTCGATCCGATGCCCAGTCCGATGCGATGTGCCTTCCGCGCCGGGCCGCCGTGCAGTCGTGGCCAAGACACGTTTCCCAGATCGCCGACGACGTGATTTGTTCAATCCCAGCGTTTTCCTTGGGTTGATTTCGAGCATCGAAGGTTCGAGGTTCGAGCTGTGACTTTTTCCTTCCATGGCTGGATCATTCGCATTCAAATTCTCACCACCCACCAAACCACCCCAACCCAAACCGAAGGCCTCAATTTGCCCTCCATTTCCAGTTGGGGGGGTCGGGGAACACTGAAAAAACACATATGCAACCCGTACCCCCCCAACCCGAAATTGGGGTCTTCGGGTTGGGTTGTGGTGGTCTGGTAGGCAGTCAAATTCTGTCTAGAAAGCATCCTGGAACAAGTCTGGGGATATATTCTTCACAGTAAATCGCAGATTGCCGACAACTTTGTTTTTGTAATCCCGGCGTCTATCCTTGATTTCGACTCCTTCGGCCCCCTACGAGGCTTTGGGGCCATCAAAACAGGATGCGGGACCACAAGCTACCCCTGGGGAAGGTGCAGGAAGCGCTGCGGCGGATTGAAACGATCATATCCGAGGATGTCTGGGCCGAGGTGCAAACGTTCCGTGTCGGCTGCTGGCTGTCCGCGCCGGCCCATTTCCGAGCTTGGGCCGATGGCCGAGCACGAGTCGCGCTCGCTCCTCCACGGATGCGATGGCGAGACTGGCGAGTCGGAGGACCTCCTGCGGTCTCTGCCCCCTGCCGCCTCCGTCGCCTCGGGCGAGTCGTGGCACCTTCTCCATCTCTGCCCCCTCCCGTCTCCCTCGCCCCCGCATCTTCCGTCTTCGTGTTCCCTCCCCTGCTTCTTTGCAGTGCAATGCATGGAGCCACCGCAAGCTTGTGCAGATGCGTGAAGCCATGAGCAAGCGCAATCCGCTCGCGTTCATCGTCGCCTGGCCAGTTTCGCTGGTGTTTCAGCCAGCACGTGGGAATGCCCACGTTTGCTGTGTTCCCTACCCCTCCTCCTCCTCCAGCCTCCCCCATGCCCTCTCTGCTCCGTATGCTGCCTGCCTCTCTTGGATGACCCCCCGGAGGCAGATGCCGGAGGCTCCCTCCCGGGCGAGCTCCCCCAGGAGGAGGAGGATGAGGAGGAGGATGAGGAGGAGGAGGAGGAGGAGGAGGAGGAGGAGGAGGGGGTAGGAGGGAGGAATGGGTGAGAGGAGTGGAGGAGGAAGACGATGATGACGGACAGGAGGGGAGCGATGGGCGAGGGGGATGTAGGGGAGGAGGGGGATGCGGACGCAGCAGGAGGAGCGGGAGGATGAGCAGAGAGCGATCCGCGAGGAGAAGGATGGAAGGGATGATGAAAGGGGCGGAGCAGAAATATAATTCATCGGATGTCTTGACGCTTTGACAGAGGTTCCTTGGCACATTCCTTGGGGTCGCGGGCAGCCGTGGCAAAAAGAGCGGAATCTGTCAAACTGACACCAGGCGCTCAGCAGTGGCGCCTGGCGCAAGGGGAATCAAACATGAAGAGGTGCCGCGGACGGTGTCGTGAGAGATAGAGAGAGAGAGAGGGAGCCAATACCGCCAGCGAAGCATTGCATCGCAACCCGAGCAGATCGAGGCATGGCTAGGCGAAGCAAGGCTGGGCGGACGTAGTTAAGTCGCCCACAAACAGCGACATCGGCGCGACTTTTGTCATCATGCGTGCGAGAGTGATGGTGCAGAGCCAAGCGAAGCAAATTAATGCAGAATGATGCGAAACAATACGTAGTTGCTCGTGGTGAAGTACAGCGCATCCGAGCCAAACGCATTCAGTGCAAGTCAAAGCGAGGCAATACTGTGTGATACAACGTAAGACGATGTCAGTCGCACACGATGTAGCGAAGTCAAGTTTTCCTATACACCATAGGGTTGACTTGAGGCGAGACAAGCGCCGCTGTACTTCTCACCGCCACCGCAGGCACTCGTGTGCCCCACCTCGTCGAACCGACATGTTCCTGCTCTCACCCCCACCCCTTTTTCACCCTCCTTTTTCTTTCATCCTCCTTTTTCTTTTATCCTCCTTTTTCATCCTTCTTTCACCCCCACACCCCACACCCTCCCTCATATCCTTTTTCTCTCATCCTCCTTTTTCACTTCCTCTTCGTCCCCTGCGGCTCGGCGGCCGCTTTCGTGCTGCCCCTCGAAGGGCAGATTGGGCTGACGCCCGAAACCCGCGGTCCGCGGGTTTCCCTTCTCCTCCCCCTCCCTCCCTTCTCATCCCTTCTCCTCCCTTCTCCTCCCCCTCCCCCTCCTCCCCCTCATTTTCTTTTCTTCTCATCCCTTCTCCTCCCCCTCCCTCCCCTGACCTCGGATCCGCTGGCAGCTCCTCCCCAAAAGGTGCCCTCTCGCCCGAGTTGCAGGCCCACAGGTTTCTCGCCTTTCGAGGGAGCAACTCCTGCAGCGACAAGGGATGCCGTAAGGATTTTGGAAGGGGGGACTTGCGACGGGAGGGTGTACTGCAGAATGGTTGATACCTCTCCTCCTCCTCGTCGTCCTTCTCCTTCTCCTCTTCCTTTTCTCCGACCTTCCTGTAGCATTGGATATGTTTCTCTTCCTCCTCCTAGTCCTCCTCCTTCTCCTCCTCCTCGTCCTCCTCTTACTCCTTCTCTTGACTCCTTTTCTTTTTCCTCCCTACTCCTCCACCCTTCCCTTCCTCCCTCCTCCGCCTCCTCCTCTGCCTCCTCCTCCTCTGCGTTCCTCCTCCCTCCCTCCCTCCCCTCCCTCCCTCTCCCTCCTCCTCCTCCTCCTCCTCCTCCTCCTACTCCTCCTCCTCCTCCTCCTCCTCCTCCTCCTCCTCCTCCTCCTCATCGCTTCTCCTGCCTCCTGGCTCCTGATCGTCCTCCCTGACCTTCTCCCTCTCCCGTGCCTCCCTCCCCCCCGCCCTCTCGCCGAGGGGCCGAAGCGCTCCTCCGCCCCAGGATCAGATCGCGACCGGAGTCCTAGACCTTCTTTTTCTGCTGCGGTGGTCGAGCAAGGTCGATCCCTGATGGTCCCGAGGCCCGCAGCATGGCGCAGACGTTCAGTGTGACAGAATTAGAACCGCCCGGCTTTTAGAGCCTGCCCCGCCTCTTCCACTGTGCACCCGCCGCACCCCCAGAGGATTCTCCCCGCCTCGACGGGCTCCCGCTGGCTGCGCGGTCTCCGCCTGGGAGGGGGGGCAAGCGCAGCGGCGGCGGCGAACGGGGCCTTTCGAGCGAGCGGGGCCGTTTTTGTTTGCTGGTTGTCGAGGTTTCGTTTGTTGTTGAACTCTCACCCACGCAGAAAAAGTATTGCTGATCCCTCATCACCAGTGCACCTTCTGTTTTTCAGTTGAAGTGCCCCCGCCGGGGTTCGCACTGTATTTTTTTTATATGGGTAAGTCTTCGTGCTCAGACTGCGTTGTTGGGCCCCGAACTACAACAACAACAACAACAACAACAACAACAACAACAACAACAACAACGGCTTACGCCTTATACTTCCTCATGTTCTTGTTCCCACAATCGCGCTCGCGCGCGGGAATATCTTCACAATTTAGCCAGAATCGCGCTCTCGCGTGGGACCTCCTCGCAATTCACTGTGACACCGCGCCCTCGACATTCAGGAATCGCGCTCTCGTTTGGTGTTCTTTCAAGGTTTACTTGGGAATCGCGCTATCGTTCGAGACTTCCTCGAGATTCATGCAGCTTCATTAACCCGCCTTCTCGACCTGGTCGCCTGGGCCCGCCTTCCCGACCCGTCCGCTAGGGTCTACCCGCAGGATATGCCCGTCTGGTTCTGCCACGTGTTTTCTGCTTATAGCCCCCCCTCCTGCTAATTTCTCTTGTGTTCCATCCTTCTCCCTCTCCTTCCATCTGTTTCTTCCACTGTTTTAAGGGCTGCGCATTCGGTGCTCGCACCCTGGTTTTGATCAGAGAATGTCACGGGTTTCAAACTGGGCCCATGGCCCCCGGCTTACAACAACAACAACGGTTCCCGATTTATATTTCCTCACAATGTAGTCCCAAAGCGCGCTTTCGCGCGGGACTTCCTCACAATTCACGTACGCATCGCGCTCTCGCGTGGGACTTCCTCCCAATTGATTCAGACGATGCGCTCTCGGCGCTCAGGAATCACGCTCTCGCTTTGGCTTTTCTGACGATTTACCTGGGAGTCGCGCTATCGCTCGAGACTTCCTCCCGATTCATGCAGGACCCACGCTTCAGCAACCCGCCTGCTCGACCTGGTCGCCTGGGTCCGCCTTCGCGACCTGCCCGCTATGGGTCTGCCCACCCGATCTGCCCGGATGATTCTACCACGTGTTTTCAGCTCATTGCCCCCCTCCTGCTAATTTTTCTCGTGCTCCATTCTTCTCCCTACCCCTTCAACGCGTCCTCTTCTCCTTTGTTTTAGGGGCTGCACTAAATGCGCGTGGCAGGTAAGGAAGAAGATATGCCCCCAAAGGGGGTACGCTCCAAGACGAACGAGGGCGGGTACGGAGGGCTTGGGATGTACGTATCGATTGGCACGTGAGCAGATGGGAGCGAACAACCCAAAAATGATTGTTGAATTCTCGCTGTTGAAAAATAATTATTGTTGATCCCCCCTTCCGGTGCACATTTTATTTTTCAACTAAAGTGCCCCTCCCGGCGCTTGGACCCTTTTTTTCCAGGGAAAGTCTTCATCCTCAAACTGCGTTGTTGGCCCCTGGGTCACAACAACAACGGCTCCCGCCTGAGACTTCCTCACGCTTTAGCCAGGGCCCCCGCTCCCGTCTGATACTTCCTCACATTTTATTCAGGAATCGCGCTCTCGCTTGGGACTTCCTTAGGATGTATTCAAGAGTCGCTCTCGCGGCGCTCTGGAGTCGCGCTCTCGCTGGAGGCTTGCTTGCAATTTACTCAAGAATAGCGCCCTTGCGTTGGAATTTCCCGCAATTTTCTCAAGCGCCGCGCTCCCGACACTCAGGCACCCAGGAGTCGCGTTCACGTTTAGGACCCCACACAGATTATTTAGGAATCGGGATCTCGCTGCCCTTCGTGGCCCCATTGCAGCCCTTCGTTGCCTCCTCGCTGCCCTTCGTGGCCCCATTGCAGCCCTTCGTGGCCCCCTCGCTGCCCTTCGTGGCCCCGTTGCAGCCCTTCTTGGCCCCCTCGCTGCCCTTCGCTGCCCCGTTGCAGCCCTTCGTGGCCCCCTCGCTGCCCTTCGTGGCCCCGTTGCAGCCCTTCGTGGCCCCCTCGCTGCCCTTCGTGGCCCCGTTGGAGCCTTTCGTGGCCTCCTCGCTGCCCTTCGTGGCCCCGTTGCAGCCCTTCGTGGCCCCCTCGCTGCCCTTCGTGGCCCCGTTGCAGCCCTTCGTGGCCCCCTCGCTGCCCTTCGTGGCCCCGTCGCAGCCCTTCGTCGCCCCTTCGCTGCCCTTCGTGGCCCCGTTGCAGCCCTTCGTTGCCCCCTCGCTGCCCTTCGCTGCCTCGTTGCAGCCCTTTGTGGCCCCCTCGCTGCCCTTCGCGGCCCCAAATATGTATGCCCTTGGTGGTCCCCGCTCGTTCGCTCCCGTCGTGACCTCATATGCATGCCCTTCGTGGCCCCGCTGTCGCCCTTCGTGGCCCCCTCACTGCCCTTCGTGGCCCCCTCACTGCCCTTCGTGGCCCCGTTGCTGCCCTTAGTGACCCCGTCCTTGCCCTCTGCGGCCCACTATACGTATGCCATTGGATGCCCTTGGTGGTCCCCGCTCGTTCGCGCCCGTCGTGGCCCCATGTGCATGCCCTTCGTGGCCCCGCTGTCGCCTTGTGTGGACCCCTCGCTGTCGTACGCGGCCCAGTTGCTACCCTCAGTGGCCCCGTCGTTGCGTTCTGCGGCCCCGCATGATCTGTCCTTCGTGGCCCCCGCTCGTTCGCGCTCTTCGTGGCCCCATGCGCATTCCCTTCGTGTCCCCGCTGTCGCCCTTCTTGGCCCACTTCGTGCCATTCGTGGCCCTGCTGTTGTTCTCTTTCTCGCTCTCGCTTTCGCTCGTCGTCGTCGTCGTCGCCGTCGTCGTCGTCGTCGTCGTCGTCGACGTCGTCGTCGTCGTGGTCGGTCCCCTGTCCGTCCCTCTTGGGGTCGGGTTGCCGCCGATCAGCGGTGCCGCTGGCCAGGCCGACGGTCCGCGGCCGCCCCGCCGTTTGCCGGGACCTGGCCTGCAGGGAAAAAAGGGCTACCCCCCAAAAGGGGTACGATCGAAGACGAAAGGGGCGGGTATCGAAGGTTTTTAGGAAAATACGCGTTAACGGGCACTCGAGCAGATAGGAGGGAACATTCTTAAACTGATGATTGTTGTTGCTGTTGTTGTTGATGTTGTTGTTGTTCGTGTTGGTGTTGGTGTTGTTGCTGTTGTTGTTGTTGTTGTTGTTGTTGGTGTTGTTGTGTTCGTTGTTTTTTATGTTGTTTGTCTTGTTGTTGTTGTCTTTGTTATTGGTGTTGATGAATTTCCATTTCTAAATAATAAGTATAGTTATCCTCCTCCAGTAACCATTGCCTGTTTTCAATTCGCGTGCTTCCCCCCGGTTTTACAAGGGATAGCGAGGACTCACCAAGCTGTGTTGTTGCCCCCTGGTTAACAGCAACAGCGGCTCCCGCGCTAGACTTCTTCTGGTTCTTCCGGCATCGCGCTCTCCTGCGAGACTTCCTCGCAGTGTATGCAGGAATCGCGCTCTCGCGTGGGATTTCCTCCCGATGTATTCAGACGACGCGCCTTCGACACTCAGGAATCATGCTCTTGCTCTGGCTTCTATCGCGATGTATTTATCAGAGCGTGAATTACCTACCCCGCTTTCGCTTCCAGGCAAAACCAAGTCATACCACGCGCCTCCTCGTCAAGCGGCCTGACCAGTACAGGCCGTAGTTTGGCATCGTTTGGTATCTCTTGGAAGCGAGGGTGGTCAAAAGCGAGGTAGGTTTGTTTGCCCCCTAATTTAGGAATCGCGCTGTCGCTAGAAACTTCTTCGCGATTCATGCAGGGCGCACGCTTCAGCAATAAGCCTGCTCGACCTGGCCGCCGGGGCCCGCCTTCCCGACCTGCCCGCTGGGTCTGCCCACCCGATCTGCCCGTCTGGTTCTATTACTAGTTTTTTGCTCGTGCCCCCCCTCCTGCTAATGTCTCTCGTGCTCAATTATTCTCCCTTCCCCTTCCACCTGTCTTCTGCTCCCTTGTTTTAGAGGCTGCGCTAAATGCACGTGGCAGGTAAGGAAGATATACCCCGTACGATCGAAGACGACGATGGCGGGTACCGAGGGTTTTGGATATACGTATTGATTGGCACGTGAGCGGATAGGAGCGAACAGTCTTAAACTGATTGTTGTTGTTGCTGCTGTTGATGTTGTTGGGGAGGCCGGGGTTCTGGTACCCTGCCCCCCCGGGTACCAAAAACCTGGCCTCGCCTTGTTGTTGATGTTGTTGTTGTTGTTGATGTTGTTGTTGTTGTTGTCGTTGTTGTTGTTGTTGTTGTCGTTGTTGTTGTTGTTGTTGTTGTTGTTGTTGCTGTTGTTGTTGTTGTTGTTGTTGTTGTTGTTGTTGTTGTTGTTGTTGTTGTTGTTTCCACCTCCGTGTGTGTGTGTGCGTGTTTGTTTGTTTGTTTGTTTGTTTGTTTGTGTGTGTGTGTGTGTGCGCGTGCATACGTGCGTGCGTGCGTGCGTGCGTGCGTGTGTTTTCATGGTTCGTAGTCCTCTGCAGTTCTGTTGACACTGATGCTTGCAGCTGTGCCAGGCGGTCCCGACGTTTATTTATTTATTTATTTATTTATTTATTTATGTATGTATTTATTTATTTATTTATTTATTTATTTATTTATTTTATATATATATATATATATGTATATATATATATATATATATATCCTCGTCTCCGGCCTCTCCTCGGGCCGCCCCAGGGCCTGGGGGCCGTCGGGAGAAGGATCGGCGGCGCGCCCGGGGGGGAAAAGTGGGGAGGGGGAAAGGCCTTCCCGGAAGGCGGCGGGGCCTCGCAGAAGCCTTCCTCGGCCTTCCGAGGAGTCTCCTGTGCCTCTGGAGCAGGCTCGGACACCTTTTCTGAGGAGGGGCCTCCTCGGAGGGGGAAGTTGGGAGGGGGACGGCCTCTCGGAAGGCGGCGGGGCTTCGCAGAAACCCCGCGGTCTTCCCTTGGCATCGCTCGGACGTGTGCATTTTTTCTCGG